TGCCACACTTTATCTGTTCACCAGTTGATGGACCTTTGGATTGTTTTCAGTTTTGGCTGTCATGAATAATGCTGCTGTGAACATTTGTGTAGAAGTCTTTGTATAGACACATTTTCATTTCTCTTGGGTAGGTTCCTATAAAGGGAATTTGGGATCATATAGTGCATTTATGTTTACATTTAACTTAAATTGCCAAATTGTTCTTCAAAATGGGTGCATCATTTTAGGGCAATGTGTGAGAATTCCAGTTTCTCCGTGTCCTTACCAACTCTTGTATTGTCTGTCTTTTTAATTATGGCCGTTCTGGTGAGTATAGTTTTTTGGATTTTTTTTTTAAGATTTTATTTATTTATTCATGAGAGACCCAGAGAGAGAGAGAGAGGCAGAGACACAGGCAGAGGGAGAAGCTGGCTCCACACAGGGAGCCCAATGTGGGACTTGATCCCAGGTCTCCAGGATCAGGCCCTGGGCTGAAGGTGGTGCTAAACCACTGAGCCACCCGGGCTGCCCTGGTGAGTATAGCTTTAGTTTTAAACTCAATATAGTTTAAAATTTTTATTTTCTTAATGAGTTATGTTTATAATCTTTTCAAGAAGCACAGTTGTATTTTAGAAACACACGTCCAGTGAACGAGGTAAGAAAGGAGGTAGGTTGCAATGAAAGAGGAGAGCCTGCACTAGATGTGTATAAATATAAAGGAGAGAAATTTTGGAGATGTATCAGACTTAGGGTGGGCAGCATTTAGTAACTACCTAAATATGATAGGTGAAGCAGAGGAAGATAAGACGTGCTTCCCAGATTTCCAATTTTAACAGTTGGCTGGCTGGTACTGCCATTAGCCAGGAAAGTGAATATGGTGCATGAACAGTTTTTGTGCTGGTAGATGAAGGCTTTTATATTAATCCTGTTTTCTCGATGTGCCACTGGAGTAGCTATTTAATATTTAGTACTTTGGAAATACATATCTAGTTCAAAAGAAGGATCTGGATTGAGAGGTAAATTTAGCTGAGTTATCATTGTGTAAGTAACAGTTGAATTCATGGAAGTAAATGGTGTATTGGTTTCTGAATCATGGTATTTGCTGGGTTGCTTTTGGTATTTGAAAATTAAACAATAAAAGGATTTAATATAATAAAAAGATCCAACATAATAAAACGGTTTTAGGATTTATTCAAGCCACACAATAACACCAAAGACCCAGATTCTTACTGTTTTTTAATGAGCTGTTCTTTATCTGTTAGATTGTCCTCTTAGGCTTTCACCTTCCTCATGGTCCTAAGTAAGTCGGCTGCCATCATTCCACTTGACAAAGTCAAACCCAGAGTTGCCTGGACGCAAAGGCTGGGGGTGGGAGCGGGGGCGTTTCCAACCTACATGTCTTATTTTCATCAGCCAGAAAAAACCTTTCCCAGAAACTCCCCAGCAAACTTAGTCTCTGGTCGTACTGCCTGGAATTGCATCAGATGCTTATAACCGAACCATCTCATTGGCAAGGAGAATGGAAATGACCACAATTGGCTTAAATTAGAGATTTCTCACCCTGGTATCAATCTTTTTCACATATCTCTTTTGGAAGAAGCTTTTTCTCCTTGTCTTTTGGTTGTCTGATACAATTAAGATAGGTAAGGTTTTCTCTAGACAAGCCAGTTTCATATCGAGTTGTTGCTATTCAATACTTCAGATCAGCTAATATTTGTTGAAATCCTTCTCTGTGTCATCAATTGTGCTAGTAGATTCTAGAATTACAACAGTGAATTAAAGCTTAGAGTTTAGTATGGAAATATGCTTAAGCAGAGGAGTGCTAAAAAAAAAAGAGGAGTGCTATGATCGAATTGTGTACTGTAGTCCGTTTATATCACAGATTTAATACTAATGCTTATAGCTTCGGTTTTATAAGAAAAGCATCGCAAGTTTCAGTTTCAAGCTTACATTCAATTTATAAGTGATCTTTTAGAATACAACCCATCCATAAGTTGACTTTCCCTTTCTGTGTTATGTGGTTGCCTGCTTTATTATAGAAGGGCATGATAAACCAAAATCGACTGTTCATTTGAATTATGTACGGGAAAAACTCTTATATTTTTCTGAAGTATGATGTTTGAATTTCCCAGTTAATTTACCAAAATTTTTAACAGTAATAATGCCTTTAGTTTAAGAGCCCAGCTGGGATGTTGTATCAAATATTCTGTAGTTTGGTTCTGATTTTTAAAAAAGGTTATATGGATGCAGCCATAGTGTTAACAGTAGTATTTGTACAATGTTTGGGGTACTTTCTATGGGTGCTTAGAGAGGAGAAAGGAAGAGGAGAGTATTTGGAGTGGTGAAAAGGAAAAGTATACAGTCAGTATTGCTGAATTTGTGAATACTAGGAAATGACTATTTTTGACACCTTGTACAAACTCAAAAGTAATCTTAATGTTTTAGACTGACTATATTTATCAAGAGTATGTATGCTGTTCTTTTCTATGAGGCAAATCTTACTAATAAAGGAGTGAATGGGTGGTATCCTAACACCTCAGAGCCAGAGATGACTATAATATCCACAGTTGATGTTTGTCACTGATGGGTTCTGTATGGTTAATGGTGTTTTAAGTACCCCGACGGTTTAAAGTTTAAGGACTTTAATGATTTTGAGAGCCAAGAGAGAGATGTACATTTTGATGGTAAATAAAGGTATTCTGTATAGATGATGTGGGATCAAAGTGCACTTTGCATATTTGTTTACAAAGTTTATGAATTTTGAGGAAATTCTAATGTTTGCTGAATTATAAAATGTTAGAAAGAAAATATCTAGAAATGTTTAATTTTTCACTTATTCTGTCGTTAAGAAGACCTGATATGTTTTTAAAAGGACTACCTTTTTCTTAATGTGTTTTCTAGAACTAAGAGGCTTGAAAGTTTCAGACACAAAATCTTTGACGAAAACATTATTATACTTGTTTAGTGTTCAGTTTTGACTAGATCTTTCTAGTTGTTAAACACAAGTTCTTAGTGCTAAAAGCCTGTGGTCAGTTACCTTGTAAGTCAAAAGATTAAAGCTGTTGGGGGCATTTTGCCCACGTAAAATCCTTTTTATATACATGCACATATTTACGCATCTCTTCTTTTAGGACTGTAGCACTGTATTGCAAAGGTTAAGGGAAGCTTTACTTTATTTGCACAATTTCTAGTTTGAAAAAAGTGATGTGCAGACCTGTATGGTGAAGCACATCCTGTCCTTTGATTTTTTTTTATTTATCTCTTAGTATGAGGTCATGTTTACTTGGTTTTCCTTAGCTGGTCTTAAATTCAATTTTTAGACGATTTATATTTTGTCATTTGTGCATGTGAGAGGATGGAGGGAGGATAGACAATTCAGGGTCTCAGACTTTGAAGATGGCATACTTGAAGGTTCTTTTGATTATTCATATTTCTTTTTATTAACTTTAGATTTAGCCTGAAGCTTTTTTTTTCACACCAAGGAAACAGTTTTGTAATAAGCAGTGCCATGATAAGCAATGGTTAGTAAATGCTTTATATGTTAATTTTATTTGATCCATTGGAAATATCTGGTAGAATTAGAATCAGGCCATATATTTTTAAACATAGTCATTTTGATGGATTGTTTTAACCCTTATGAGAATGGGTTAATCTCTAGCTTTGTGTAATACAGTGATTGCCTTCCCTCTTTTCTTCCACCTATGCCGTTAGGGAAGAATGGAGTTGTTGGCAAAGAGTGGCTTTGGAGGTAGATATTTGTCATTTCTAAAATGAAAACATAATGCATTTATTTTTTGATTATGTAAGGGAAATTTTTTAAGACTATGAACCTCTCAGGAAAAAAAAAATCCCTAAACACTGTATCTCTTCCATTCCTGCCCTCATTTCTCTGAGTGATGGTCTAAGAGTTTTATTGTCCTGTGAATACCCTGAAAAATATTAGGGACCAGTTAAGTTGTGGGTAACCGGTGCATTGAGAAGACTGTTTAAGGCTCCTAAAATGCAGACAAAGCATTACTAATTGCTTTCAGGGTCAGTCTGTCTTTAGTTGGACCATGAAAGATTTAGCATGGTCCTATGGCAGCCCGTCTGCTGAGTGGAGACTCTTGTCTTTAAGAAAAGCTGCTATCTGATATGCTAGACCGTTTCAGGTTGCCCCAGTTTACATGAATTCAGTCATTATTGCCAAGACTACTAAACCTCAGTGTGACACAAACGATACCTCTAAATGGACTTGAAGACAAAGGCATTTTGACTTTGCTGTGGGACATAGGTAGTGTCCATACAGCTTAAAATTTTTCCTTTTAAAATATGAAACAATACTTTGCTATTTGAAGTTTCACTTAAAAGTTACGTTCATAGAAATTATTTTTAAGATATCTAAGTAATCAACATGCCTTTTTAAATAAATCAGAATTTTTCATTGTTTCCCACTTTTAGATTTATCAACTTTGTGTCTTAACGCAGCAAGGGAACTAAATGTCAGTGGAAACATAGTTGTAACCTATCCCCTGGGCTTAGACCAAGCAGTGCCATTGATTCCTGACCCCTCCAGTTCTTTAATATTCTAGGTAGAAGATTGACTGAAATTAGAACTACCTACTGAGATTTTGTGATAGAAAGTGAAAAATAGGGGTATTAGCTGGGTGGCCAAATATATTTTTGCCTAAGTAGAAATTTCAATACTGTAGAATTGTGGATTTTAGTGCTGCTTCTAACTGTTCCTGTTTTTTCGTTTTAAGATGTGATTTTTTTTTCCTTCAGAAATCTAAGCTAATACAGAAATTTTGCATGCAAGAAGTTTCTTCCACAGAACTATTGTTACTTTGTGAAGTTGAAAATATACAAAATAGGGAAACATCTTTGGGCAGAGGTTGGGAAAATGATAAAGTGATAGGTTAAAATACTTTAGAATTTCATTGACTTTATGTTGAAAATATATAATTTTACACATGACAAATTTTTAGTATTGCTTTTGTGTGTTTCTTTTGGTCTAAGTAAGCTCTCTTTTTTTTTAACAGATTTATGAAAATATGCATCAGTTTAATACTGTCTTGGAATTCATGAGATGGAAGCATAGGTCAAAGCTGTTTGGAGAAAATTGGAAGTACAGTTTTATTTAGCCACATCTCTGAGGTAAGGAAAAGACTTTTAAGAAAATAATTAGAATAATATGAACATTTTCATATAAACTATTTGAAAATAGTCGTGGAAGGTGGGTGGGGGAATGAGCTAAATTGAATTGGGTGATGGGCATTAAGGAGAGTGCATGTTGGGATGAGCACGCGGTGTTGTGTGTAGTGATGAATCACTAAATTCTCCTGAAACCAATACTATACTATATATTAACTAACTTGGAAGGAAAGAAGGAAGGAATTGAAAATAGTCCATGTGTATGTATTACTGCTGCAACTTTATTTTAGTCTCTTTAGTTTCTTTAAACACCTCTTTTATGAGTTCATAAGTAGTTCTAATACATTATCCCCTTCTTATTCATGTTTAATGTCTTCAGAAATAAAAGGTACTCATCTATTACTGATATCACTCTCTTCACTCTAATTATAGAAAATAAGCATTAGATGATATATAAGGATGTATTTATCCCCCCTAAAGACAACCAGAGTTCAGAATGGAAGATTATGGATGTTTATATTATTTTGAAACTTTCACACATTATAGAATTCAGAATAAAAATGTTGTCTTAAAATAATAGGTTTTTGGAGATAGAATTTGTTTTAAAAGTAGGAACTGTCGTAACACCAAGGATAGGGGAAAAGAAGCCGTTCTAAGAAAGGGGATGTCAAGTGCATTAATTTTGATCCATTTACAGACTCAGATTATCAGGTAAAAGGTTTGAATTCTTTAGGATCTATATTTTAGAAAAATAAATAGGACATATACTATGAAGTAGTCTGTACTCTTTCCTCGTAGGGTAGTTGGCTTTGCAGCAGTTGGCTGCTGCTTCTGTAGCGTGCTCATTCTTTTTTCTCACTCTGCCCCACTGGTGTTTTTGCTCTTTTGAAAAACACTTACAACTTTTTAATTGCCTTTTATTAGGTTTCATACTCTTTGATCACTGTAGTAGTTGCTATTTTCCCTTTTTTGCAATTCTCTTGGTTTCTATGACCCTGTGTTCTTCTAGCTCTACTTCTTTAATCACTCTTTCATAATTTTTCTTCTCCTCCTACTCTTAAGTAACGACCTCCACGAGGTTTTATCTTTGAAATTTTTCTGTTTCTTCTTTATGTTTTTCTTGATCTCATTTCAACAGTTACCTCTATAGTGATCTCTCAACCTTACATCTCACTTGTGTCCCTCTCTCTAAGCTTTCGGCCTGTATGGCCAACCGCTCGCGTCGCACCAGGGTTCCCATGTCTGTTAGCGGACGTCTCTGTTACCCACACTCAGAGTCTCGGTGCCGGTGCCGGATGTGGTTCCTCACCTTTTCCTTCCCGCCCTAGTCAGAGATCCAGTCCCACCCGGTGGCCTCTGAATGTGCTGTGAATGTTTCCGTCCTTTCTCTTCCAGTCCCCCCATCCCCATCCAAGGCTAGGCCCTTCCTTTGCATTTCACCTGAAATATTGCAGGGCCCTCGCGGTTGGGCGCTTCACTGCTGTGAGAGGAGGGAACAGTCAGGGAGGCTGCACATAGGACGTGATATTTTGAGTAGAGTCTCGAAAGATGAGAAGATTGCCCAGTGGAATTTGGGAGGCGAGAGAATTTCACGTGCAGAGCTCAGCGTAAGCAAGGGAAGCCTGAGGTATATTGATTGTACAACAGACAGAAGAAATCATTTTGTGTGGTTTAAATTCAGGATATGAGAGCGGCTTTGAGGGACAAGGTGGGGAGAGACCTTGATGGTGAAGGACTCAGTGCTGTGGTCAGGAGTTTAGGCTTTATTTTGTGAATAGTTGGCAGCCACCGAAAAATTTTAACAGAGGCATTTTAGAATCATAATTTGTTTTGCTAAAATTAATCCTGCAGAGATATGGATGATAGTTTGGAAGGGGGAGGGGGACACCAAAAGCAGGCGACAATTAGGATGCTCTTAATTGTTAATTGTTTCAAACAAGAAATGATGAGGCTCTTGATTTAGGTAGGGATCAACTTACCTGAAATTATGAAAACCTGTAAGCATTGGTTGTTAGCAAACATTCAGTTTTCTTCCTCTGTACCCCTCCGTGTATGTGTGGTACTCCTCAGCCAGTGATTTGAAGCTGCCTGTATTTCTTTGCTCTCTGCTCCTATTATTCTTTTCTCCTGACATGCTTTTTCCACTTTTTCTTGTGGAAGCCCTGTCAACTTTTAAAAACTCATCTCGGGCAGCCTGGGTGGCTCAGCAGTTTAGTGTCTGCCTTCGGCCCAGGGCGTGATCCTGGAGACCCGGGATCGAGTCCCACGTCGGGCTCCCTGCCTGGAGCCTGCTTCTACCTCTGCCTGTGTCTCTGCCTCTCTCTGTGTCTCTCACAAATAAATAAATAAAATCTTAAAAAAAAAAAATCTCAAGTGCCAATTCACCCCTGAGGTCCTTTCTGACCTATATTTCTTTTTTTGGATGTGTGTGTGCGTGCACATGCACAACTGCTGGCAGTGGAGGGAATGTGTAAGGACAGAGAGAGAGGGAGAGAAGATCTCCAGCATGCTCCCTGCCCTGTGCAGAGCCTGATGCAGGGCTTGATATCATGACCCTGAGATCATGACCTGAGCTGAAATCAGGAGTCAGGTGCTTAACTGGCTGAGCCACCCAGGCGCCCTTGATTTCTTTGACTCTAAGGATATATTCCTTCCTAGTTTAAGACTGGAGAGCGCTTATTTTTGTTCTGTAGGATATTACTTATTTTGGTCCCTGTTAAACTGTGTAGCAGCAAGTCACAATGGAAGTGTCAGAAAATAAAGAACATGGTCCCCATCTTCTATTTACAGTCATACCAGTAAGGTCTGTATATAAGTAATATGAGTAATGATTACTAACACTGCCAGGTAAAAATGATAAATGCCAGAAGAGTAAGTCATTACTTCCTAATCAGAGTTCTGTAGAACTGCTAAGTACAGACAGAGCATGGGAGGGATTGTTTGATTTGGGCTTTGAAAGATGAGTTAGGATTTGAATAAGTAAAGAATTAAAAGGTATTTCTAGAAAAGCTGGCTGATGGAAAACGAGTATTTCTCTATAAATATGGTAGAGGTCTTAGGCTAGGAGTGTAACATCAAGAAAATCTTCCTTTAGGAAAATCACTTCTAGCAGTGATGTGTGAATATATGTCATTAGAGAAATGGAGTGAGGGATCAGGAGGCTCAGAAGGTTTTAGGAGATGTGAGGTATGAGGTAGTCAGAATTTAATCCAGGTAGTAGGGGTGGAAATGGAAAAGGAAGACCATGTGGAATAGATGTCAGGGGAGAAGAAGCAGTGATTTCTGATTTCTGGCTTCTGACTGGTTGTTGGAAAGAGGTGCTGATGCCCACGCCTTCTATCTGGATAAAACAGATCATGTTGGGCAGCGCTGAGAGTAAACATAGGTAATTTTTCAAATCTGGTTGGACCTAAGTTTTCCTTTTTTTTTTTTTTTTTTTAAATTTTTATTTATTTATGATAGTCACACAGAGAGAGAGGGAGAGAGAGGCAGAGACACAGGCAGAGGGAGAAGCAGGCTCCATGCACCGGGAGCCCGACGTGGGATTCGATCCCGGGTCTCCAGGATCGCGCCCTGGGCCAAAGGCAGGCGCTAAACCGCTGCGCCACCCAGGGATCCCTAAGTTTTCCTTTTTAAAAAAATATTTATTGACTTGAGAGGGAGAGAGCACAGAGGGAGAGGGAGAAGGAGACTCCTGCTGAGCAGGGAGCCCAATGTGGGGCTTGATCCCGGGGCCCTGGGACTATGACTTGAGCCAAAGGCAGACACCCAACCGACTAGACACCCAACTGACTGAACCCACCCAGGCTCCCCAGACCTAAGTTTTTTAAGTTTAAAGAAACATTAAAATTACTATTCTACTGTGTTATTGGTTTCTTCATTTGTTTATATACAACAAATATTTTTGTACATTATATTTCGAGCCTTAGCATATTGTAAGGGAGATATATTGAAAAAAGTAAAGTATTGCCTTTTTGTTCTTATTTAATTAATTTTTTTTTAAAGTATTGCCTTTGGGGCATGTGGGTGGCTCAGTCAATTAAGCATCTACCTTCGGCTCAGTCGTGGTCCCAGTGTCCTGAGATTGAGCCGTGCATTGGGCTTCTTGCTCGGAAGGGAGTCTGCTTGCTTCTCCCTCTACCCCTCACTTGACTTGTTCTCTCTCTTTCTCTCTCACTCTCTCTCAAATAAATAAAATCTTTAAAAAAATGTATCGCCTTTTTTAAAAGAACAATTTTTAAAGAAAGAAGTACTATTTTTCTCTTTTGCTGTAGTTTTAAATGCTATGTACTATTTGGTAAAAAAAAAAAATGTTTAAAATATTTCTTTGGGTATAATCCTGACACTTTTACTGAAGGGTGGTATCTTGTTTTAATGTAATTACTGCTCAGTGAATTGGGATCTATGAAGAAACTCATGAAGCAAAATTCAGTGGTTTCCCATGAACAGACCAGCATTAGTGTGGCAACGTCCTTAGAGAAATACGTGATAGTGAGGTACTACATTACCTCACGATGTGAAACTAGCTAGTCTTGATGCTTTTATTAAAGTTCTTTTCAGCTCTTAATTGATGACTGATTTAGGACTTTGCAATATTTAGAAATATTCCATCCGGGCAGTTCCAGGTGGCCCAGCGGTTTAGCGCCGCCTTCAGCCCAGGGCCTGATCCTGGAGACCCGGGATCGAGTCCCATGTCAGGCTCCCTGCATGGAGCCTGCTTCTCCCTCTGCCTGGGTCTCTGCCCCCCCCCCCATGAATAAATAAATAAATAATCTTAAAAATATTCCATCATTTTATATTGAAAATTAAGTAGTCACTCTTGTAATTACACATTGTGGAACTGGAAGATGTTACGTTATTGAGGAAAGCTTTGTGAGTGAATTGCTATCAAGTTTTCTCTTTAAAGTAAATCTAGTTAAGCTCTCAAAGTAGTTAATACTTGTACTGTATTACATTTATATGTATATATTTAAAGGAGCCCCTCTATCATTCTTATCCCAGAA